GACAACTTCTTTATGTTTACAGACGTGACGTAATGACGCAGCGGCATGCTCGAATTTCCCGTGAAAACCTACCTGTACCACTCAGATTAGAAAACATTATTATAAACTAAAAAAGTTACGGACTGCAGCTTTAATAAAAGCCGATGTCAAAATCGTTCCCTTTTTTGAACAAGTTCTGGAATCATTAAAGAACTAGTTTAAAACATTTCCTGTCAGTTTGCAGCATCTGTTAGCCCTCCAGCTGTGTGACTGCAGTGGACACTTTCTGGATATCGAGCATTAATAATTCAGAGGTGTGTGTGTGTGTGTGTGTGTGTGTGTGTGTGTGTGTGTGTGTGTGTCGTAAAGTTCTCTTAATTCAATTCAAGCGCCGTTCTGGATTGTAGCAGACATCTTGATTTTATCCCGACATAATATATGCGTCTCTATTAAAAGGCAGGTGAATTAATATATGTCACAGCAGGCGGTGTCGTCTAAAAGGTTTAGCTGAAGTGTGCTGGAAATGTCAGAACAGGTTATTAGGAAAGGGTAATGCTGCCCCCTTGGGAGAGATGTCAAAGTAGATGAACAAACGTGCTATCAGCAAAAGTGTAAGAGTATGAACGATATCAATTCTCACACAGACCCTTGGGATGTGGTTTAATGTCTCACACAAGCTCAGAGGGATAAAGGCAGCCACTTTTTTTTCTTCAAGTTATTTCAAATGGAATCAGGTGGGCCAAATCCATTGTGGCCTTTTAGGTCTGATGAATAATTGATGACAAAGCCAGTGAAAGAGTGATCTGGCTCTTGACTCATAGGAGAGCATCAGAAATGGCTTTAATTAAGTCTTTATTGACTCACATTGTCTGTTGACAGTCTGCTTTTCAGTCTGTAACTAGGATACCGCTTGGCAGGTCATGAATAAATGCGCCGTTAAGCTTACCTGACATATGTACCCAGCTGAAATAGTTAGCTCTATAGGGTGCTTGGCACCACCAGCAGTCAGTGATATTATTATTTTAGGGAGGCTGATTTGGAACAAAACATAATTTAAGCAGATGCAGTGTTCCTATCGGTGACACCTGTTCAACGATGCATGCCAGACTATTTTATAATTACTAGGGTCTTAATAATACCTGTTTATAATGTACATGACCACAAAAAATTATGTTGTCATACTAATCATTAATTAAATCATAAAATGAATAAATTATTTTAAATATAACACTTGAACCAAATAAATAAAACAAATAAAACCCATATTTGAAATATCTTTTTTGTTTAGCTGCATGTCAGTGTGAATGTGTTGTTAAATTATTTAAATATTAACTTTAAACCTCAGGAGGACTTCAAGTAAATATTTTATGTCAAAGCAGTTTGACTGACAAAAAAATTTGGGAGTCCCTGCATCGCACGAACAAACATTAATAAACATGAAACAGCAATGAAATGGTCAAAGTCTTCCAGTTCAGTTTTTTAAGTGTTTAGTAACTTGCATAATTATTCATCCAATACGAGGTATAATCGACTGAGAGGTGCTTTTGTCCCCAAATTCAGAAGCATGGATTGCAAATTAATTTACATGTCATTTACATGCCCATTCTGTATTGTGAATACTCACTGTATTCAAAATGACACGTTCAAGTTTTCTATAAAGGAAAATTCAAAAGAGAAAAAATAAGAATTTATGAAATTACTATTATTAATATAATTATTCTTATTTTATATCTAAAGTCATCAATTTAATGGTTATTTAATACAATTGACAGATTGAGTCTGAGGGGAAAACTGCAGGTATCACTTGAGTGAGCTGAACAGGTTAAACCATTTAACTAATGCTCGAACAATTGAAGGTCAGTGGTATAGATAATTATATCCAAGCGACAGGCTTGTACATGATGAATTCTTCCTGTTTTATTTGAAATGCAACTTTGTTTTACATAATTATAGGATGTGCCTCATGAGTGCCTCGTGTAATTTGTAATGAGAGGAAGCATGTAGTATGACTCACTTGCTCAGCATTTAATAAACATATGATTTAATAAACAACTAGATGCAGAAAAACTATATTTTTACTTAATCTGATGAAAATGTGTGCTGTTTGCCCGTGCAAAACACTGCATCAAGGTTCTAGAGTGTTCTGTGGTGATCTTGGTCATTTATGTAAATTTAATCGTTAGAGTTTTGTTCAGGTTTTACATATTTTTTTTGTAAAGTTGAGTTCCAAATGATTCACTATACATTATGCATTTATACTATGCATTGTATACTCTACCATTTAAATTGTTCAAAATGTTCTAAATTGCCACTACCATATGAAGTTATTTTATTCAGTAATATAGCACAGTGTATAACAGTTTGTTTTCAAATGCTAATTTTGCAGCCATGAAAATGAAAAGTGCCATAAAAGTCATACAAGTATTCCTGCTGTGCATCTTCAATAATATGATTTAGCCTGTGTAGCGAGACATTTGGCATTTCATACAGTGACAGATGATTAGATGAGGGCGACACTTCGCCCGCGGCCACCTCTTTCATGTTTCCTCTGTCTCCGGAGCCTCCTTCAACACATATGTAAGACTCTGAATCCTGGAGGCTCTTCTTCAGAAGCAACCACTTCAGGACCATCCCTTTCCTTTTGACATTGCTCTGAAAGGCTTTGGGCTTTGGTGGTGTATTTCATACTGTATTTACTCACTGAAAGAAGTATGTTTCTTGAGGTGTACTTGTAAGTGTCGTTTTGATTTCTCACTGAGAGTCACTCGGAGATTTGGCATTAGAAGGACAAAGGGATTTTAAGATTCATGAATCATATTACCTCTTTTTCTGAGGAGAATCATGCAAATCAATATCTTTATTGGTCCTGGAATAATTTTATGCCATTTTTCACTCATTTTGATGTGGATTGTCTCTTGCAGGGAGGCTCCATTGAGAATAGGAAGTCAAAACGTTGTTTGGAATTGGTAGAAACTGCGGAAGTGGATCATGGATATCAGCTTGCCCTTCAACAGTGCAGCAGTCAAAAATGGACAATTACTAACATATTGCCTGGGAAAGTTCTTTAGGCATGTTTATCTTATGGGACGTATCACTGGATGTGTGTGGACTGAGATACAGTGTCCCTTACACACATTGTTGTGTCATCTGCTGGAGGGAAGGGTGCTGTTCTCTTGTTATTTAACACTGTAAACATCTTCATGTCTTGTATCGGACCTCAAAGAACACATGGAACAAGTGTCAAACATTTAATTTTGTCAAAATAGATGGCTGGTTTGGAGACACTGATGCTTAAAGGGATAGTTCACCCAAAAACGGAAATTCTGTCATTATTTACTCACCTTTTTCATTTTTTCAGTGAACTGTCTCGTTAAATGTTCTGCTGTATGATTGGCTCTTGTGTATTTAAGCATTTAGTAGTTTTGCTACTGTGTAGCACAAATTTTAAATGTTTTTTTCTCAGGTTTGCGAATGATGTTTGTGATTATTTGATGTGGACAAAAATATTTTATAAATGTAAATAGTATTTCTAAAAATATAATAAAGACTTTTAACTCATCATCTGAAACAAGCTGGTTTAATGCCCCAAAACACAAGTCTAACCAGCTTGGAGGCCATCTAAAGCTGGTTAAAACAGGGATTTCATCAAAGTTGATGAAATTATGGAAATTTAAAAATAACAAATGCTGTGGTATATAAAAAAGAAAGTTCAAGCAGAAATACTCTATTCATACAGTTTCTCTATTCATATGAAGAGAGTTCTGACATTCACAGAAATTAAAGCTCCACATTCACAGTTCAGTCGAATTCATTTCTGTCTTCTCATCTCCTGTGGGACAAAACCATCGTTTTAATCAGAGTCAGCAGCACTTGACATCTTCACAGACCTCTGAGCTATCCAAATCCCTCAAATCTCTCAAACACAGACACGCACGTTGCTTTAACTATGAACAACAGTTCTGTCATTTCGGTTTCCTAGAAAAAAAGAGGAAAAAACATGGGAAAGGTTGGAACCCCAAATACAGAACTGGAGATTGTTGCTTATTATATTTAAATCACTGAAGTGTTTCTTTGTTTATGCTATTTAAACAATTCAAAACCTCTAAACATCACCTTGGCAATCTCTTGGAAAAGCAACTTGCAAAAGCTACATCCCCTGGGATGGGAAATCTAAATGAGTTTTAGAAGTGCATTTGTCAGTAAGTCTCAAATATGCATCCTTGGGGGAAAAAAACACACATCCGCACTGAAACTGATCATATGAAACAATTTCTCATCTTCCTTCTGTTTCTGCACTTCCAGATCTGTCAGAAAACCTTTTCCTCCTGAGATGATAAAACTCCTATTCTGACTGACCTTCTGAACATCTTTTATGTTGGGAAACACAATGGTTGTATTTATAAGAGCAGACATAGGAAACTTAGGTATCGTTCAATTCGACATACCGCTCTGAATCTAACGAGATAACTCTTATGATTTTTGGTCAAACTGTTTAGGAATTATAAACAAAAATGTCAAATTTTTATATTTCTTGACCAGTAGGTGGCGCTGTGCTGAAACTACTCATGTGCCCTCAGGTCATGCTTGGTATAAGTCATACCATGTTTAGTCTGAATCTGCTAAAGTGTTGCGAAGATATAGCCTCAATTCGCTTTACTAAATGGCTTGGTATATCAAAACGCTTTTGATAACTTTTTGCCAGCATTGTCTGAAGATGATCAAGACAATTTTGGTGAAAATCGGACAAACCATGTAGGACGAGTTTGAAAAAGTAGGTTTTTCACAAAATTAAAAATTGCAAAAAATCTTGACTGTAGAAAAATTTTGCATTCAACTCAGCATGAGAAAAAGGAATCACAGGAAAAAATAATTTAGCTTCTAGACCTTACAGTTCAAATTTATTAGCAGAAATATGAGTGCAAATTTGGCCTATTGGTGGCGCTAGAGAGTCTGAGATAGAGACTCCAATTTGCTGTGGTTAATATTGAGACTGTCCTCTATCTGTGTGACAAATTTCATAACTTTCCCGTAAGCGCTTCTATGGGCTGCCATAGACTCCCAGAGCGGAAGAAGAAGAAGAAGAAGAAAACGGATACGATAGGTGCCTAAGCACCTTCTGTGCTCGGTACCTAAAAATATATTTGAGTGAGCGCAGTTTAGTTCTTTTAAAATATTTCACACTTGTGAGGGAACGATGGGTTTACTATTTCTATATTATTACTATTTCATTTTTAGATTGTAAAGCTGTAAAACAATAACATTGCAGTCTGTAGTGACTACAACTGGTTCACTACATCCATATGGTCTTGATGATGATAGTGGAAAATCCTCTCCCTGTCCTGCTGTATTTTACTGCTGAGTAACCAGAAGAATTAATTTAGCAGTATAAATTCTGAGAATGATCATTAATCAAAGGTATTAAGGCAGAACTGTCTCATTGATGAGAGTATTAGAAGTGTGAGAAGTCCAGAGCATTTAGAGAGCTTGTTATCAGGCCTGAAAAGTGTTGGGTTAGCACTTCTGAACCTCATAATACCACTGGCTGGGAAACCAAACCCTCTGAGTTTATTAAATTACTGTATTCCTCCAAGGGCCTTCCACTTTCTGCTATAGTGCTTCTACATGAAGTGTTGTGCAAATGGAGCAAAGCAATTAGAATACTGAACATGGCGAAAATGTATTCATCTCTATTATAGTGAACACGAAATAGATTTTTTGGCAGTAACATTATTCACACTACATAAAGTTCTGCATTTTAGGTATTGAATTAAAATATTGCCGCAGTGTTTTGTACATTGTAAGATAAGGTCACATTTACTGTCGTTTGGCTAATTTTTACAGCGAAATTCAGTAATTTCAATAGGAATTCACACGATCGGGAATTTTGTGTAAGAGCAAAAGATTTACTAACAGAGATTTTGCAACGGGTTCAAGTTGGTCATGCAAATTCACTGAAAATTCACTGAAAATTCACAGAAAATTGTTTGAAAGTGATTTCTGTGTGTTTTGTGCTTTATACATTGCTACACTACTGACAATAAACAATGGACTTTTTTGCCTGCAAAATTTTGCTAATACTTCACCTCAATGGACTATTATTAGCAGGAGACAGCTAAGATCCAACAGACCACCATTAGAAATCCCTATAAAAGAGTATAAAAAGCTATATTTTCTCCGAAACACTACCTCTGCAGGAAAGTGGCTCTCGTGGGCCAGATTTGAGGATCCCTGCTATATAGCCTTTAATTAAAGTTATAGTTCACCCAGAAATTACAATTCTGTTATTAATTACTCACCCTCATGTCGTTCCAAACCCATAA